TTCACTGGAGGGTAGGGAATGGAAAAGCTTGGTGTATGGGTTTGGTCGCTGACGTGCACAAAATAGGGAAAATAATTTCCCCATTCGTTACCCAGGCAGTACCCCTGAACCATCGCAGCTTGCGTTGTTATGCTAAGGAGAAAGGAATGTTCACATTTGAAGATAAAATGATCCTTGTCTTTGAACAATCGCACAGCTTATGTAACAGCTCTCTTAATGGTAAAGTACAGCTGGAGCCTGGAACATGCTGTTTACAGAAATATCACGTAATGGGTGACAATGTGAAATGGAGTAAATGGCGCGGAAGGCAATAGGCGTAGAGAGAGACTGGAGGTTGGGAACTGCGAACGCGTGTTTGCGAAGCGCGAGTGTGCTGCCTTCCTGAAAGCAGGAGGTTTGAACCCTGCTTTTGTAAAGCAAGAGGAGTGGGCTTTGTAAAGGTCGTCAGAGGACTGGCCTAACGAGCTGTCGCAGGAAGGGCAAATGGTACGCTCAGAGAGGGCCCGGGAGAGGCGAGCCGGGGTGGCACCGATGGGAGGATTTCAAGAACTGACAAGGGTAGAGGGGACTGTGACTGTAAAGACTCGGTGGACAAGGAGAAACAGGAGGTAGAGAAGACAGAAATGATGAAGCTCTGGAACTTTTTCATGCCAAAATTACTGTAATTGTCTTTTCATGAATAGGAGAAAGGCTGCTGAGTAATTTCTCTCTTGAAATGCTAACCACTGACTAATACACCGCCAAGATTACTGTAATTGGCTTTTCATGCATAGGAGAAAGGCTGCTGAGTAATTTCTTTCTTGAAATGCTAACCACTGACTAATACACGCATGCAAAAACAAACACATCCACACAAACATGCAGTTGCACAAAATTATGAAAATTGCCCAGCTTTCTTCTGAGATATTGAAGGTTTGACAGAGCGAGCTCTGACTCAACCAGTGTTGACTGAAACCAGGTGCATGGCAGCCAACCAATGGCACTTGCTCCCCAGCACATTCGTTTATTTCCATGAGACAATTCACAAATTCTGTATATGTTAGCAAAAAAATAAGAGGTATAGAATTTTTTTAAATGTCATGGTTTTTTATAATATGTTGAACCATCTAGTTTGATTTGGAGTGAATAAATAGGTTTATGGACTGTTTTCTGTTGTTTACAGCAAACTCAAGGTTCATACTTAGACATTATATGACTGATGAAGCAAATCTGTAAATATTCATTACTTCATAGAATCATATTTTTTTTAAAAGCACATCATTGTACACAAAGCATTTGTAAATCCCTATTAGCGGTATTTTTGTTCCCACATCAATATTCCTCGTTTGCAGACAACCAAATATCTTAGGCTTCGTTCTTCCTTCTACATGTAATGGAATCACAGCGCTGTCACAGACATCACAGCCATTTTTGTAAAATATGATGTTAAGGAAGACTGAGTTCATTGTACTATACATTTGTAAATGCCTCCCTTTCAGTAGTCTCAGGGGAAAGAAGATGCCAGAAAGAATTCCCCACCAGCGTACATATTAATTGTCACTACCTTTCATGGGATAGTAAAGTGCACGCACACAAAGAACAGCATTAAGCATTAGGGAGGCTGCACAGGGAAAGTGAGGGCATTTGAGTGAGACTTAAGGAAGTCACATGGTAAATTATAATAATCGAACTGCAATCTAGAAAATCATACTCTCCTTATTTGTGTCTGTAATGAGGTAATGATGCAGCTCCTCTGGCTTCAGACAGCCATTACAGATTTACAGCAGGCTACGGAAGATCAGACTGCAGCCGAAGTTCTTTATTATTCGTGTATCCCTTCAGTGATGTCTGAGTTCAGAAGAGGGATTGGTATAATTTGAAGCAGTGAACGTGTTGTTCCTCTGTAGCTCAAACTCCTTTCAGTTTCAGAGCGTAGGGGACTGGTTATCACAGAGCACAATTGATTGATTGTTGATCCTGCATATTTGTGTGTTTGTGAGTGTGGAAGCATTCTGTGCTTCTGAAATCCGGCTATGGATAGGAAATCCACAGTATGACTAAATGATTTGACTGAAAGTTTTGCAAATAAATTATCTGTCCAGAAGCACAGCTCACATGGATGCTGCTGTACAAAGGAGCTCCACTGGAAAGCACTGGGTGTGCTTGCTGCTGATGACCTCTCTCTTTGATTGGCATCCACCCAGATTTGAAACAATTAGAACCATGCAAAAATTTTAATTTCCTGAATCAAAACAGGTAATTCACCAAATTCCCTGCTGTGTACTATAATAGAGGGATGCAAATCAATTTCTGATGGAAATGACTCGAAGGAGATTACCGTTCCCAGTTCCACCTTTTGCTTGGGGACTTGACTTGAGTTCTGTCTGCTGCCCAGGCATGGCTCTTCACAAGAAATGAAATGCTATTTGCTTGTTTAATTTCCCACTGTGCAGTCTTTGGTCATTCTGTGCTGCTTCTCTCCTCTGTTGAGGCTACTAAATGAGTTAGTGTTACCTTAATGAACCCGTTGAACGTGTGGTTAATGCTGCTGGACTCCATATTCAAAAACATTTTTTTTGAAATCAAAGTGACTATTGGTAAAATATTCTCCTGTGGTTCATAGCTCCGATAACCAGCACAATGACTTAATTGGCATTCTTGTGCAGTGCTTGGACCTTTGCCAGTTAATGACCCATTGCTGCAGTCTGCACGGGCACATTACCCCTTCTGTCCGGCTCTTCAGGCGGATGGACTTTTGCCCAAGTAATAGCTTGCAGGCTCCTATTCTCAGCTGGCACGGACCCCAGCACAACCATAAACATCCCTGAGAGGATCATAATATGATATATTGGACAGATTCTGATACGCCTCACAGTAATACACTGCCGAGCAAAATTCTGCTGAAGTCAGTGACTTTGGCAGGGGCAGAGCTGAAAGAAGAAACCTGTCCCTACCCTGTTGCTTTCTCGAGTAATGAAGCACTTGCAGGCTATTAGCTAGTCTGTGTCCCTTTTGATGATGCAAGTTTTTGTGAACCCTTTGTCAAACATTCAAAATAGGTTTTTTTGTTCTAAGTGGTTGCGTTGTCTCTTCCCCCTACAGGATTTTCCATTCTTCAAGCGATTATGGAAGCTGCAGTACAGAACAACTGGCAAGTGACAGCCAGATCTGTAGGAAACATAAAGGATGTTCAAGAGTTCAGAAGAATTATAGAGGAGATGGACAGGCGGCAAGAAAAAAGATACTTAATTGACTGCGAAGTAGACAGAATCAACACCATTTTGGAACAGGTATATGCTTTTCAGAAGTTGTGATCTCTCTGTGACAGACATCGTTAATGTTTCTGGAACTGTCTGTTTCTAGAAATTAATTAAGTATCCGTTGAGATAAGAGTCCCAACAACTGTCCGGTTACTTAATAAAATTAAAATGCCTCAGTGATGCTCATAGTTCGTGGCAGCACTTACATGTAACCTACCAGGAAATGTCTCTGATTTTTTTTCCCAAATGTCAATAATTAATTATTTTTTAAGTAGGTTAAGAACCTAAAACCTCAGCTGTGAGAGTAACATCACTGGCATCAGAGCTGCTTACAGGGATTGCAAGACAGGTGCAGTTTTTTAAGTGGAACATGAAACAAGAAATAAAAAGCCAGTGAAGTAGTTCTGAGTCATGTTAAAGAATTCCCAAATGGAAGTATCGCTAATGGAAGATTCAGCTGGTAGTGCAAATGGCTCATTAGCACTTTTTGGGTACATAAAGCCCTTCCTTCTGCACTGTCGGTGCTGTTGACAGGCTTAAATGGTGGGTGATAGAGTCTGAACACCTCTGCTGGGGAAGATGCACTTTTGAGTATGTGGCCTTCCCAGGGTTTGCTTTGTCTCAGAGGAATGGCCATACCCCCTGACCATCCCAGAATGCCTGTGCCACTTGCCAGTGCTGTGCAACGTGCTTGAAGAGGTGTAGTAACAGATACACATCACAGGGAGCAGAAGAAGGACAGGTCCCTGCTGCCTGGGTGCACAGCAGAGCCGGTGTTGGTGTGGGACCAAATCCATGCTGCTTGTTTATTCGTGGGAATTCACTTCCATTAGGATTGAAAAACCCTCTGATTATTGCCACTTCATAAATTTAACTGTGGGTTTATAGTATGGAGCTGATCCAAAGTACCACCTAAATTTCATGAAACCTTAGCATATCTCTTTGAAATGTTGTATTGTGAACTAGCAGCAAACTGACCTCCCTGCCATAACCCCTGGGAAATGCAAAAGCTGTATTCACCGAGTTCCTTCTCAAAACGTTCTGTTCCCATCAAGCCTTGAGGTGTGACACTGAGGGTCAGTCTGCGGGGATGGAATCGCTGTGGTCACAGCCAGGTCCCATAGCCGCTGGGTCCAGAGGGCAACAGGAGGATGCTCAAGAGAACATAGCACAAGCTGGTACTGGTCTGTAACTCTGACAGCTGGTATGGTTGGGATACTAATGCATGTATACTGCACTTCATATATACTAAATACACTGTATTTTTGGTCAGTATGGAAATTCATACAGAAAAGTGTAAGAAACTTTTTTTTATTTCTTTCATTTACTCATATTCTTGCAAAAGATGGAAAACACCACACCCACAGCCTGCTCTGCTGGAAATGATGCAGGAGAGCACTCCTGAGCCAAGCTGAAGTTTTTGGGCCCACTCTCAGCTGGGGAACAGGCCTTTTCTTTGATCTTTCTGACTGCATTTACATTTTGTTCTCTCTTTTTCTTCTATTGTGCAAGTGAGAGAAAAAAATAATCAAACCATTCCGGTGCCTAAAATGAAAGCTGCATACGAAGCAAACCATACAGCAAAAAACTCGTGGACTCTTTCCTTCTGCAAGCATTCTAAATTCAAACCTAGTGAAGTTGTAATTTTATATAATGTTTGATTCATCTTTCTATCAACATGATTAGCGTCTGTGTAACTAAGGAGTTGCTACTGGGGCCTCCAGGTTTCCCCAAACTCTACAGTACACTGTACAATACTTACCCTTTTGCATAATCAGAGCCTTTCTGTTGTCATTATTGTATTGTATATAGCCCATCCCTGTACTGTTAAATTACTCTTTTTCTGTATTATGCCCACTGTCCATCTTTTCAACTTTATTTACATAAAATTTGGACATTTCCATTAAATCTTTATCCCAAATTATCTCAAATATTTCTAAAAGATCTTAAAATTTCCTTGCAGTTGTATTTTAGGACTGTTTCAACCAGTTTTAGCCAATCCATTGAACACTGTCAGTCCATTGTTTTGCAGCCAAATCCTGCAGAAATTTTCACACATAAATACTACGTCGTATATGTTGCCTCACTGATGTAATATGATTTCATTGAAGATGCTCATAAGCAAAATTGTTTGAATTTGCAGTATCAAAAATGGATTTAGAACTCTTTGTCTAGGAAACCAAGCTAGATAGAAAAGCAAACTAAATGTACCTTCTGAGCTAAATACTCTGGTACTAATCATGGTTTTTTAGCAGTCTAAAAAGTGTAGTCCAGTTATGCAGCACTTTTTTTATGCTGCATAAATACACATTTATTTTACTGGGGCCGTTCACTTCCTAAAGAATAGCCCAAGCAGATCACAGGCTGGTGCCTCTGATGCTAAAGGTATCTTCTGGCAATAATTTCCAGGGGTTTTTTTTGTCTGATACTGAAAAGCATTGACTTAAGTTTCTGCAGGGAAAGTCAGTAATGGTGGACCCCAGGTTGACAGCTGAACAATTATTGGTTTTAGGCTTTTCCTTCCATCTCCTCTGCTTACCTTGTTATCTTCTCATAAAGTAGTTAAAAAATCTCACAAATACGTGTGGTACTTAAATCCATCCAGCCAGTTTGCTCAAGGGACTGGTGCGTTGTCTTTATAGCCAACTGTGTTTGCTGATAGCATAGCATTGGGGGGAAAGATAACTCTGGATTTGCATATTTCAAATCTAGCGTTTTAATGCAGTTTAGAAAGTCAGATCAGTGCTTTGTGTGGAGTCTAGAAAGTCTTCTCAGCCAAGAGGCAGCAGCATCTGAGCACGTTAGCAGCACGCTGACTGCACAACTTCAGGTGGCTGTGAAGAGTTTTTTCCCAGCAAAAGCAAAGGGTAGCCAAGACTCTACCTGTTCTGGCAGAGTACAGATCGACAAACTCTGTCCCAGAGGGGGTTGGTATAGGGCTGCCCAGCCCAGCTGCCTTTCCATCCCTCTCCCTTTTTGGCCTCCTCAGGGGCACAGCTTCAAAGATCAACCCTCCCATCACCTTCTGGGAGTGATGCCTACCTCCAGAGAGGGGGTTTTCTGTGGTCATGGTGGGAATGTGTGGCACCTGCTATTTCACAAGAGGAGGATGAGCCAGTGACCCTGGATTTCAGAAGCTTAAATAGGACTTATTCAAGATCCAAAGTTATAGCAGAAATAAACAGACTGTAAACCACTGAACAGTCTACACACATGCTGAGTTTTCTATCAGACTTTTGGGCTCTTGGCCAGGCCATTCGGCAAGCTCATCAGTTCTCTGCTCCAGAAACCACATATGGCTTTGTGTTAGTGCTTGGATTAAATAAGAGTGACCTCTTCTCCTGTATCAGGCCGGTCAGTGTGTGCAGATCTCTTCCTTGATCCTTTTTTTCGACCAGTTCAAACCAGGGTATACTCTCTTTGGAAAGTGTAGGCTTTTCTAAAGATGATTACCCATCTGAGGATTTTCTTCAGACTCTTCAGGTCCTGCTGGAATATTCTGTACCTTCCTTCAGCGATGTACAGACACGTGAGTCAGTGACCTTGAGTATTCCATATGCCTTTAGCATCTGGCACATCTGTATGTCTCTGTATTTCCAAGGTCTGAAACCTTTCATATGAAGTATTTCTCAGGGCTGGCTGGTACCCAGGAAAGGATGTCTCCCCCTGGTATGTAAATATAAGGTAGAGGAAAGAGGGTACCTCCGCTGCTACCCTGCCTGGGTAACCTGTTTTGTGCCAGGTTTCACTCTGCAGCACATCTGGTTTCATTCCCCTTCCAGAGAATCTTGTGATGGGCCCTGCAGTGTGTCCTAGAGGTGGGTACCCTGCCCACATCATCTCTGGCCCTGTCTCTTCAGCTGCAGAGAAGGGGGAAGCAGAGAGATTAATAGTCATTCTGTACGTTGCCATCTGTTTGTTCACTTGCCCCATAGTTCTATAACCATTGAGCGTGTTGGATCAATATCCCTCCTTCCACAACAAAACAATATCCAATTTAATCATCTAGTGGCCTCTCAAGCACAGAGATAGCAACACTTATGTCATGCAAAATTCATAAGCTCCCCACACTTCTTGTCCCTTGATGCTAAAATATTCCAGTATTCCTTCACAGATAGATATAAAATTTTGTTCTCATAAACAGAAGAACATTTTCTTCTGGGAACTAACAGTAAGCTTTAGCCTGTTCAACCATGTATTTAGAGACGTGTTTTTGAGCTAAGAAATATGTTTTTCTTATTCCCAAGATAACAAGCTCTATTTCAGACTAGAGTGGCTTTTTGTCCATTTAGAAGAAAATCTCCTGAGGGAATATAAGGAGGAAGAAACTCCATTCAGGATCAAAATGGTGAAACTTTACAAAAGAGCTGTTTATTCCAGAGACTGCATGCTTTTATCGAAAGGACACCATCTCCAAACATAGTCGTCAAGGCTAGGCTCCAAGGCAATCTCTGTAGTGCCTGGAGGCGTCTCACAAAGCAGAAGCAATATTACAGTAGAGAATGCAGTCCCCAAAAGTTGACAATGACAGTCAAACTGTCAGAGAAGTCTTGAAGTAAAGCGTCCGTAGGATTAAGAAGGGTAATCTGATTGACTGATCTCTATCCAGTGCAAGCAGTGACTGTGACTTGACCTTCGAGTCTGAAATGTTGAGATTAGGAAGGTGGTCCACAGGTTTTCAGTACAGCCACAGTTGCATCCCTCTCAAGAGCTGTTCAGACCTCAGAGGAGCGTGCTCACTGCACAGCAGCTTTCACATTTGGGGTCTTGTAAGAATAGGTACAAAACTGCAGTAGTTGGCTAACCAATAGTCATTAAAAACAACAGTAAGGAAAAATGTAAGTGAAAAAAATCAATGCTGCTTTGGTGTAAGCTTCCTGGTGTGTGTGTTAGATTGTCAACCGTCGGGTGTGGGGTTGCCTGTGTTCTCAGCAGCAATTAAAAGCACAGTAATTGCCTATGAACACAGTGGGACGCTTGAAGGAGAAGCAGAGCTGTGAGTAGCTTCAGCTTCTGCTTTGCTTATGAAC